CTTTTTGGATCCCGAAAAAAAGAGGGGCAAGAGGGGCCGCCTTCCAATAAGGACCCCAAGAAGGGACCATGATTTAGGGTAACCACCACATGGCTCTTCTCTGCTCTTGCACTTTGCAAGACTGGATCTACCACCCTGCGCTTTCTCAAGTGTTAGCCGGCGGCACCCTGGGACCCCAAACCCTAAACCCTAAATCCTAAACCCTACACCCTGAGCCCTAAACCCTAAATCCTTGGGTGTTTCAACCCCGGGCTCATAAACAAGATGGGTGGACAACAAGCTTTTCCAAGGGCAGTTTCATGGTCCCATGTGGTCCCTTACCCTCTTTAAAGGCTTCTGATGTATGGGCCCGCGGGTTGTATAGGGATATAAGGGGTATGTAAGGGGTCCCCTTTTAAGGGCCCAGATTAAGGGACCGTGCAACTTTAAGAGTTTTTGCTTCGCGTACGCACGTGCGCGCACTCTGCGCTGACCATGGTGTCCCAACACTTGCGGGCAGGCTCCATCTTCAAGCACACCAGAAACTTCAGAAAAGACATTGTTCAGGCGCTCAACTGGAACGAGCAGCTATCTGGGCTGAAGGCATGCGCGCCTCACTGCAGACAACGGCAAACCATGGATATGTTATATGTTCCTACGGACTCTTCCATCGGGTCGAGGAATGACCCCTACTTTGATTATGCAGTTTATTGAACCAGCCGGAGAATTCTTTACATCCCTTGCGCTTCGGGTGCCCGTCCGACAGAACGCTATTTCGGAGAACTGGTCACATGGAGCTCATGTTAGGACATCTCCACTTCGGCAAAGTCACCCCTTACTCTGCGCTGGCTCTTCTTACCCGGGGAGTGTGTGGTGTGTTGGCGTACTAAATAAGTAGAAGACGGTTTTGGGGGTTATTGTAGTATACTTATACAGGGACCAGAAGGGAATACTGCTAGTAACTATTCCGGCTCCTATGTTACTCGAACCTTGATCTGCACGATCACAAGCCGCGCCACCGCCGGGGAAGGGCGGAGGCTTGCAGCTTTTGCTTCAACACTCTTTGCTACCAACGGCTCAAAAAGCACAAACATTTGTCCTTATAAGGGTTAAACGGGACTAATTTTTTTTGGAGGTTCTTAAGCAAATCGTAGTTTGTAGAGGCCCGAGCACATCCGAATACCCGAAAAAAATCACCGAACAAGCAGAGTAGTACACATCCTGAGCATCCTTTCTGAGTGCGGCCCTGCCGCTTCGAAGGGCAGGTCAGTTTGGGGCCCCAAGAAACCACATAAACAGAAGGATCCTGCTGTTGGGGTAGAAGGGCCCGAGAAGGGGGATCCTGGAGAGCCATGTTTGTAGAGTCCTTATGCTTATGTGATCGTTTGGGCCCCTAGTCAACTACTATTTGCTTAAGACCCCCCCCACCCCCCCCCCCCCCCAAAAAAAAAAAAAAAACATATCAATCCCTATATTGCCCTTATAAGGAAGAATGTTTTTTTTTTGGGGGGGGGGTTCTTAAGCAAGTAGTAGTCAAGGGCTCAATTTTTGCGAGTTCCATTATGGAATGGCAGCCTGGGTCAACTTGAGCCGTTTGCAAGCTCAGAAGTCGGGTTGGGTGTTTAGGGCTACAGTTCGACTGAGTTTTTTTTGTATTATTTTTTTTTTTTTGGGGGGGGGGGGGTGGGTTCAACTCCCTTCGGAGGTTTAGGGTTTAGGGTTTAGGGTTTAGAGTTTAGGGTCTTGGGATTTTTTGAGGGTGGTTGGGAGTAAGGCTTCGAGTGCAGAGGCCTTTCTTTGACTCGACGTTTGGGCGTGCCACACCTCCTGTCGGTTGCTGTTGAGAGCTGTGGGCTTAGATGCTTGGCTCGGACTGTTTAGAGTTTAGGGTTTCGGGTTTAGGGTTTCGGGTTTCGGGTTTAGTTTTAGGGTTTAGGGTTGGGGGTAGCAGTTGAAGTTTGGAGGTGTTGTTGCATACTCGCTGGGATGATGCTGTTTGCCGGGAGCCACAACCCGTGTGCGGATCCGTGGGGCTTCGTGTCGTGAATTAAGGCATCCGCTGCCACTGTCGCTGCCACTAATTTAAGCGTGAAGACAATGAGGGTTTCTGTGTGCACTAGCTTGTGAACTTAATTTGGATCGCACGAAATCGCCATGGTCACCACTGCTGCTAACCTGCTGTGGCCACAGAAGTTTCCGCCGCAACTTCTGCCATGGCCCGTGCTACTATACCAACGATGCTGCTGCCTCTACAAATGCGACGATTTCTGCTCTCTTCACTTCGGCCGCCCTTAAGCGATTTTGTTGCCAGGTGGAAAGTACCCTGGGACTCTCCTGTCGCAAAACAGGTGCGCCCCCCCTCGTAGGGAATGAGGCATGGGCACCCTTCCTTTTTTGGTTTGGGGCTGAGATTCAAGGGGCGCTGCTTCGAGTTGCCCAATCACGGGATTTTTTGGGTTTAGGGGTTAGGGTTCAGGGTTCAGGGTTCAGGGTTCAGGGTTCAGGGTTTAGGGTTTAGGGTTTAGGGTTTAGGGTTTAGGGTTTAGGGTTCTGTGTCAGCATCCGGAGTTGACGGTACCGGGCTTGCTTCAGGGGTTTCAGGGGTTTGGCTGCCTGCCTGCTTTGCGCAAGTAGCGCTTTGCTGGTTTTTGCTTTGGCTTTGCTCTGTGCCTTCACTGCCGGATCTGCTCAGTTCTTTTTCTTTTCTGCCATCTTCCAGCGTTGCGATTGAAATAAGTCAACCCCAGCCCTGCCCGCGTTCTGCACGTGCTTTGTGTTTTTCAGATGCATTTTTTGTCTGCTGCCACTGCCTTGTGGATGTCAGTTGAATACTAAGTGGAGTCGCATGATAGCTACCACGACATGACGTGCTTCTTTCGCGTGCTCGGGTACGAATATCTACAACACTGTTAGCATTACGGCAGCGAGGCCCCGAACAATTCAATCGACCGTGCCTCTCCCTTGTGCGCAGATCTCGCTTTACGGTTCGAAAGTTTTCGGAAACGCCATCATTGTCAAAACGCTTCCATGGCAACTGGTGCATGCACCTACACATACAGCTGCCAGCGGCAGCTGCGACGCCTATATGGCACACATGCGTACGGAATTTTTCCATGCTGCATTTACTTCTTCGCTCTTCTCAACTTAAGACCGGCAACCCCTGCTCATCCAGGCCTGAACACCACATCTGAACACGTCTCCGAAGGCCTAAACCCTAAACTCTAAACCCTAAACCCTAAACTCTAAACCCTAAACCCTAAACCCTAAACCCTAAACCCTCTAAAACCATGAGCTCTGCGTCGACCTGTGGTTCGACAGGTCATGCAAACTTCAACTTTCGTATTTAGCCACATAGGGTTTAGGGTTTAGGGTTTAGGGTTTAGGGTTTAGGGTTTAGGGTTTAGGGTTTAGGAGCATCAACCTAGGAATGCCCGGAGCCCTAAGAAGTTTTGTGAGCCTCAGCACCCCAAGAGAGCATTTTGGTTTCTAGACCGCTGGCGAAGGTCGGAGGTTCTGAGCCTTAAGCTTTTTCAATTTAATAAGAATAGTAATAGTAATAATAATAGTAATAGTAATAGTAATAGTAATAGTAATAGTAGTAGTAATAGTAGCAGTAGCAGTAGCAGTAGCAGTAGCAGTAGCAGTAGCAGTAGCAGTAGCAGTAGCAGTAGCAGTAGCAGTAGCAGTAGCAGTAGCAGTAGCAGTAGCAGTAGCAGTAGCAGTAGCAGTAGCAGTAGAAGTAGCAGTAGCAGTAGCAGTAGCAGTAGCAGTAGCAGTAGCAGTAGCAGTAGGAGTAGGAGTAGGAGTAGGAGTAGTAGTAGTAGTAGTAGTAGTAGTAGTAGTAGTAGTAGTAGTAGTAGTAGTAGTAGTAGTAGTAGTAGTAGTAGTAGTAGTGTAGTAGTAGTAGTAGTAGCAGTAGCAGTAGTATAAGTAGTAGAAGTAATAGTAGTAGTAGTAGTAGTAGTAGTAGTAGTAGTAGTAGTAGTAGTAGTAGTAGTAGTAGTAGTAGTAGTAGTAGTAGTAGTAGCAGTAGTAGTAGTAGTAGTAGTAGTAGTAGTAGTAGTAGTAGTAATAGCAATAGCAATAGCAATAGTAATAGTAATAGTAATAGTAATGGTAATGGTAATAGTAATAGTAATAGTAATAGGAATAGTAATAGGAATAGTAGTAGTAATAGTAATAGTAATAAAAATCATAAAAATCATAATAGTAATATTAGCAATAATTGCGAATTTTTAAGGCTCATTGGAGACCAGAGCCTCGAACTTCAGCAAGCCTTTGGAACCCTTGATGGGCAGCTCAACTATGGGTCCGAAAGCGGCAAGGGTTAGGGCTTGGGAAAACCGACGGCCCTACCTACAACCTTCGGGGTTAGGGTTTAGGGGTTAGGGTTTAGGGTTCAGGGTTTAGGGTTGAGGGTTTAGGGTTTAGGGTTTAGCACAGCCCTCACTACCAAAGATCAAGGTGCAGTGTACGAGGTCGACATGGTTTTTTTGAGGTTCGGGGTCGGGTTTTAAACTTTGGAGGGGGTTCTTTTTTCGTAGAGGTTTACGAAGGTTTGTTGGGCTTTCTCAGGGTATATCATGGCTTGAAGAGTGGTTGCAATGCGTGGACCATGTGGTTTGGAGGCGCCTGCCCACGGTCTTCGTGAACTCCCCTGCTTGTCTCAGTTGCGCGGTCCAACATAGTGGAGAATGGCGTACCTTCGCGTGGGGGAGGCTTCAGTGGAAAGCGTCGCCCCCGACTCGGAACCTGCCGAGGCTGACTTGTAGCCTTCGGGTGCGACCTGCGACCTAGTGACCAAATGACGAATGCAGGCTTAGCTCTCTTGGGTGCCATTTTTCGGGGCTTCTCCGGACGACTTGAATCTTTTGGCTGCAGCCGACCTGATGGCGATGTTTTCTTCGTCGTCGCACGGCTGTATGTGCCATTTCATCTAACCCCCCGCGCCGAGTTCAGGCTTTTGTGCTACGGTGCATCGCGAGTGCGATGTGCACGAGCCCGATCCAGACCCAAAAGCGATGACAGTTCTGCACTTCGCGGCCAGGGCAGCAGGGGTGACGGGCCGAGGTGCAATCCTGATGCCGAACGACTTGACAGGCTGCTGCCCCGGAGCGCCCGCACGAAGCGACGCCGTCAAGAGCCCATTTTCGCGACATCGAGCGTCAAGGTCTGCGGGGTGCAGCTTGAACACGGAATGCGCACGGAACGCGGGCGAAAGTGCGCTGTGCCACGTCTGAAGGTGCCACGACCCCGTATCTTACGTTGAAAACCGGGACCCCAGTGCATTGGAGTCGCATGCTCTTGACCCATTGCAGTCGGGGAGAACCATAAACGTCCCCCTGCCCGATGCCTTGATGCCTAGCAGACCCTCGAAGACGAAACTTACGAGCCCAAGACCCCCAGAGCCCTTTTAAACTGACCCTAAACCCGAAACCCTGAACCCTAAAACTCCCAATCCCTAAAACCTACACCCTCAGAGACCTACAAGATCTGTCTGTTAAGGCTTAAAATGGCAGTTTACGAATATAGATAAGGGACCCCTACAACAGACCCCCAAATAAGTAGGATTCCCTGAAAATAAGGACCCCAATAAGGTACCCCTAATCTCGGAAGCCCCGCCAGATGTCTTGAAATCCTAAACCCCGACGGCCACCTGCTTGGAGGGCCTTCTCTTCGTGGATCCCTTCAAGGTGCGCGCGCGCGCGCGGGAGCGGGAGTTTGGCTTCATGCTCTGGGTGTTAAAAAACTACCAATTGCTTAAGAACCCTCCAAGAAATAGAAAATGCTCTTCCTTAGAAGGGTAATATGGGGATTATTATTTTTCATTTTTTGGGGGCTCTTTAGCAAATAGTAGAAATGCCAATTCTTCCCTTGGGATGTTTTTATGTTGCCCTTCTTGGGGTTAAGAGGGTCATATTCAGGAATACTTTTCGGAGGGTTTTGTGGGCCATCCGAGAGAACGGTTGTGGAGGCTTACTTAGGGGCTGGCTGTTCTTGATGCTTCTGTGCTTGCACTTCAAGGGTTTAGGGTTTAGGGTTTAGGGTTTAGGGTTTAGGGCTTAGGACCCTTAGGAGGTAGGTCCAGGTAGGTTTAGGGTTTGGAGATCGAGTTTGCAATCGAGACTCGTAGAGCGAGGCGGGCTCCCACTCTTAGGACTCTTCATGCTCTGCATGGGCTTAGGGTTTAGGGTTTAGGGTTTAGGGTTTGGGGTTTAGGGTTTAGGGTTTAGGGTTTGGGGTTTAGGGTTTAGGGTTTAGGGTTTACCGTTTAGGGTTCAGGGTTTGGGGTATGCCACGCCGTGATTGAGCCTCGGGCTTACGGAACAAGACGCGCTCGATTCTTTTCGCCAGGCGACGAGCTCCCCAGCAGCAACGCCCGCGACGTGCAGCGCCTTGTTTTCCGCAGATGCACCGATGCATGTGGCTAGCAAACAGAGGGGGGTTTTGGATCCTGGTTCTGAGAGTTCTTTCCAGCCAAACCGGACAAATGTTCATCATCCCCCACGCCTTGAATCGCCTTGAAACCCCACACCCTAAACCCTGAACCCTAAACCCTAAACCCAAATTTGGGCTTCATGGTGACATATGGTGACTTCCGCGGTCAGGGTGAGGTGGTACTTTGCCAGGTCCCCTTCGTCCACGCCACGGGCTGGGTTCCCAAGCAAATGCCTTTTGGAGCATGGAGAGTCTGCAAAAAAGGGCTTCTTGGTTGTTTAGGGTTTATGGTTTAGGGTCTTGGGCTTAGGGTTTAGGGTTGAGGGTTTTGGGTTTAGGGTGGAGATGATGCCTCAGCTCATGCCCGCAAGGTAGACTGAAAAAGGGGGCATGGTACAAACCCCAGGCCGCAGAGTTGTACCGCTTTAGGGTGTGACAAGCAATGCGGCACCTGAGCAGGCTGTTGTAAACTACTACAAGTATCTACTACAAGGTTGCTCCATTCATGGACCTCTGGTCGTTTGTAGCCGTCGCACTTAATCTACAAAGAGCTCACGAGAAACAAGTTTGGTGACCCTGAATCCTAAGCGCTTTGACATAGATCCTCGGTCTTGCCGACAGCAACCCCCTGCGCCCCCAACAGAGGTCGAAACAACTATTTCTTTGCTGTTGACCCCTAAACCCTAAGCCCTGAACCCCAAACCCGCAACCCCAAACACCATAAACCCTAAACCCTAACACTAAACCCTGAACCCCAAACCCTAAACCCTGAACCCCAAACCCTAAACCCCAAACCCCTTGAATTGAATTCGCGGAGGCGGCGGAGGGTACCGGGACGGCAGCGCTTGCAGCCAGGACGCCGTTGGGAGTGGAGTTGGGTGTTTAGGGTTTAGGGTTTAGGGTTTAGGGTTTAGGGTTTAGGGTTTAGGGTTTAGGGTGGAGAGGGGGTGTTGGGAGTGGAGGTTTTGGCGGCTTGTCGCTCGGCGGCGAAGTTTTGGGGCTCTCAGGGCTTCTCAGGGCTTCTCCCTGTCTAGAACCGGGAGTAGGCCCTCTTTTCCTTGTTTTAGGGTTGGGGTTCCCTGATAATCCCCTTAAAACCAAAAAGGGGTACACTTTTTATTCCTAGGTTACTCCCGGGTCTAGCTGTGGTAGTCACCAGTCCGAAATCCGACCTTCCCCTGGAGGAGCAACCTCGTAGATTTCCCTACCGAACAGAGCCGCGACCGAGCACTTCTACTCGACTTAGTGACTCCGAACTGAGCCGTGCTAGGAGCACGGCTAGACTTTTGAGGGTGCGCACCCTTCAAGACGTCCTTTTTTCGAAATGCCGAACATGCTGAATCTTGAAGCCCAAGCCCATCCAAGCCATGAATGCCTACAACTCTAGAACTTTCCTGCCCTAACCCCCTCCACCCCCGTGGCCCAAACCTTAAAACCTCTTACAAGCTCCTTTCCCCCCAGCTGCAGAGAATTTTAGAGCCAGGGTCAAGAAGGCGACTGCGCAGGCTTCTTGGAACGCATGGGACGGATGTAGGCCGCCTAGGATTGGGGATTCAGGTTCGCATACACTGCTGTGCCGTTGGGGAATGTTGGGCTTTTAGCACTGCAGACGCTGGGGTTTCCAGTAGATGGATTGGACGTAAGGGGGCGTGTAGTATAGGGGGGAACAACTACTAATAGTATTCCCATAGGGTCCCTTTATAAGTATACCACAGGACCCCCCCCCCCCCCCAGAGCCTGTTCTAATTACTAAGGCCCCTATAGCAGGCAGGCTTTGAGGGGCATGGTGAGAGCTGGTAAAGTTGGCACCGAAGGGGTGACAGAGGGTTTAGGGTTTAGGGTTTAGGGTTTAGGGTTTAGGGTTTAGGGCTTAGGGTTTAGGGTTTAGGTTTAGGACACTAAGAGGTGGTTCGCCCCCCAACTCACAACGCTTTTTCACGAGCCTGAGCGGACGCAGAAGTACTCAGATCCCACACAGCGGTTTAGGGTTTAGGGTTTAGGGTTCAGGGTTTAGGGTTTAGGGTTTAGGGTTTAGGGTTTAGGGGTTAGGGTTTAGGGTTTAGGGATTTTGGAATCCCCCGAAGCCTCGTGAGACTCCTTTTGCCTGTACTCGGGCTCCCCTCCCAGACTTCAAAGTCTCGAGCAAGAAGCCAGACACTAAACCCTAAACCCTAAACCCTA